CAAGTATTATTTGTATTAACATGCAAAATGTAACAATGTAATTCACCACATTAATAGAACCAAGGGGACATACAATAAACTAATAGCCACTATTATAGTTAAGTTGAAACACTGGCTGCTTTCCCCAAAGATAGGAAACAAAGTAAGGAGTTTTCATTTTACCACTTCATTGCATCATTTCACTATAGCCACAGTGGTAAGAAAAAGAAATAAAAGGCACAATGACTACAAAAAAAGTAAAACTATCATTATTCTCAGATGATACAAAAGAACCTTATGAAAATTATTTTTGACAGCAAAATCTACACTAACTTTTAAATAAAAAGGTAATATAAAACTCAATTGCATCTCTATATACCAATAATAAACAACTGAACAGGGAAATTAATATATAATACTAAAGTATCAATTCAACTCAATGAGGAGAGTCTTTTTCCATGTAGTAAAAAGCAAATCTTGACTGCTACTTCACACCATATACACAACCATCTGAGATGGATTATAGACCTAAATATAAAAGTCAGATCCAGAAAGCTTCTAGAAAAAAAGTGGGAGCATATATTCATGATCTGGACAAGTCACATAAAACACTAACTATAAAAGAAAAAAATAATACATTGGTCTACATCAAAATTAAAATATTCTGCTCATCAAAAGGCACTTGAGAAAATGTAAATCAAAACCTGGGGAGAAAATATTTGCAGTGCAAATACCTGACAAAGGACCAATATCTTTTGGAATTACAGGGCAATTTATAAAGAATTCTTATAAATCAACAATTAGAAAGTTGAACAACCTCACAAAAAGACACGGACAGATTCCTCTCAAAAGAAGATATAAGAATGGACAATAACCAGAGGAGAAGATATTCAGCATCATTAGTCACCAGAAAAATGCAAATTAAAACCATGAGAAATCATTTCACACCCGTAAGAATGGCTAAAATAAACAAATTTAAAGGCAAGAATGTAGAGAAACCAAAATTCTCACACACTGCTATTGATGATTATAAAATGGAATAACTACTTTGGAAAACTGTTGAGAAGTATTTTATAAAGTTAGCTCTTCATCTGCCCTATGACCCAACAATTCTACTCTTATATTTCTATATGAAAATATATGTCTACAAAAAGACTTGAGTCGGGCAGAGTAGTGCATACCCATAGTCCCAGCTATTTGGGAGGCCAAGGTGGGAAGACACTTGAGCCCAGGAGTTCGAGACTACCAACTTGTGTACATGTATTTGCAACACATTCACTCACAATGGTAAACAACAGGGAACGACACAAGCATCAATGAACAGGAGAATGGATAAAGAAATCATAGTATATTAATCCAATGGAATCCAGCTCATCAAAAAAGGAACAACATGGATGAATTTTTAAAAACATTACAGTGAGCAAAAGAAACTAAACACTGACACACACGCACAAACACACAAATATACTCACTGTATGATTCCATTTATATAAAGTTCAAGAATAGGCAATACTCATATATGATGATAAAAATCAGAAAGTATTTTCCCCTGAGGCAGGATTAGAAAGGAGGATAAGGAAACTTTCTGGAGCCATGGCAATGCTCTATATCTTGCTTTGAGTGAGGTTACACCTACATATACAATTGTCAGAGTTCATCACACTGTATACTTGAGATCTGTATATTTGATTCTTCAATTGGGGAAAAAAAATGCTTCATCAGGAAACATTAAAAAAACAAAAAGCCAACACAAGTAACATAATTATTTGGTAAAAAGATGAAAATTGATATGTCAGTAGACCTACCTAATAATTTTTTTCAAAGATAATTTTTCAAGTATTTTTTTGAAGTATAAAAATAATTTGATTTTCAATTATAGGTAAACACATCCAGCCTGTGCATTTATCTAAGCAGAGAAACTCAGCCTTGTGGGTTAATATACTGAAAAGAAACAAAGAGGAACCAGTGACATATAAATATTTCACAGTCACTAAAAATTAAAAATACATTGTTTCACAATCTGGATGATTTTAGAACATGAAAGAATCCAAAGAAACAAAGGTGAAAAGATCAAACACAGGATGCAGAACTAACAGATGTGACTTACTGAGTTAATAAAAATGCTGAATAAAAACAAATTCAACAAAGCACTGGTAAGCCTGCAGCTTCTAAGTAATTAACACACTAGGTAGAAACATATGCAATGTGTAATCAGCCCTATCTCATATTGAAAGCAAGGACTCCTTGATGACAATGGATACTCTCTATTTCCAGGCAGAATTACCAGAAAATAAACTAGATGAAAGTAAAGGAAGCAAAGAGAACATAACCTAACATACTCTACCTAAGCAACATCTTTTTTCAGTAAATAACATGAAAATTCTTTCTTTATCTTATCTATTCAATATCATTCTTCCCACAATAAAAGACTGAACATATTAACTAATGCCCAGGCAAAGAAATGTAAATTCATGTATAAAGGTTGCATTTTTATTTTCAAGGCTCAACACCAGTTTTAAAAGTGAAATTATCATTTCAACCATGTTATCAATTTCAAATTAGTAAATGAAAAAAGTACTTGAATATCTATAATTCAATCTAACTTCACACTTCTTGCATTTCCAAATAGAAAGCCAGGATTAATAAACACTTTGGAGGATAAACCTGTGATCAAAATATAGGCTTTTGTATATGCTAACCAATAGTTTTCTTTTCTCTGGAACAGCAACTCTCAACAATTTTCTATCCCTGACACACCTATGACTTGTCAGAACACACCAGGAGTCTCCTGTTCTACTAATCCATCTGTCCTCCATGTACACCCACTAGTCTCCATACCCTTTCCTGAAACCACATGTCCTATCCAAATACTCCCTCATAAATATTCCCACATGAATTTTCTATTCCTTCCTCTCTACAATGAATGAGGAACCTGGGGAGTTCATAACTCACATGGAGAAATAAGTAATGCACTGAAGTCTCTGAGGCAGGAGGAAGAGTAGCCCAATGTAGTTTATATGCTCTCTATATATCTATACACACACACATATATGTTATTGTTCTATTAATATTACATATATATTTACAGGCTGCATTGGTTCTAATTTAAATATCCTCCTGAGTTACTTAACTTTCCCTCTTCTTTATTTCCCCCCCCAATCATCCTTATAGCATCTGAGAAAGAAAAGTGGAGTCAGTTACAAAGATAACATTTAAATAATGACAGCACCAAGGAATAAGTTCAAGATGAAATTTCTGGCCTTGATAGTATCTCTAGTTTTCTTCAAAGTTTACCAAAATAAGAAAAGTTAAACCAAACTAATATGAAATATGTAGAGAAGGATTTGTGAAGTAATATCTCTTAGAGTTGATCACATCATAGATATGTAGAAAGAAATTTGTTTTTCATTCATTGAATGACCTAGTGCATTTACATTAGAGAATTTACATTGATATAAAAATAATGATATTGAGTAATGAATTTTATTAGCGTATATAGGACAATGTCTTCCCTAAATAGTTAAAAATGCTGAAAATGTAATAGACACACAAAAGCAACAGAAACACCCTCCTATAATGAGAGAACCAATCATAATGAATGTATCTATAGCTGGGTTTAGTGAGATTTATTTATTGAAGCAAATAGACTAGATCAAATTTACCTGAAAAAGAAGAGGGAATTTCTGAAAACATTTTCCTTCTCCACATATTGGGGCACTGTGTAAAATGTTACCTGTGCTTAAACAACCTCGAACCTATAAATTTCATATTCATAAAGATGTGTCAGGTTGTACAACTTCATGAAAATTTTTCTAGCCTCTGAATAGGATTGGAGGAAATAGCTATTACACTGAAGTAATAGGAATTCCAAATCAGTTGGACAATTTGGTCCCTTTGGAGGGCCAATATCCTTATCCATGACATTGAAATATAGATTCCATTGAAATCGATGAAGTCAAATGAAATGATTTATATGAAAATGTTCTATAAAATATAGTGGATATGTGAAGTTAAAGTGCCATTTTATTGATGAGGGTGAAGATTATAATAAAAATAATCTAAAATTAGTTATATTAAAGAAGGTAAGATATTAAACAGATCATTGCTCATTTAGACCAAAGCAATCTTAAAAGACACATTTGCCCTACAAATAGGCTCAAAGGCTTTGTTCATACTATATATCTAAGTAGATGATGAATGGCATTAATTGGATCCAAAGTCCTCCTGTTTTAGATTTTATGAGGCCCATTCAGAATAAGCCAGGTTGAGAACACCATCAATTCCATGTTCTGGGTCCATCTGTTGGCAAAAATATAATGCAAACAGCTTTATAAGTGCTATTTTCAATGAAATATCACAGAACAGCTTGTCCCAATGATATTTCTAAAGCTTGCCTGCAAACCGCCTACTGGGAAATCCAACCAAAAGAGAAGAGAGAAGAGAAAGAAATCTACACAGACAAGTGACAGGGATGGAAAAAAAAGAACAAAGGATAAAGAGAGACTGGCTTAGCCAGAGGAATGTGAACGCAGGAGGAAAACAAGGAGTGATGAGAGGTGCGATACCAAACAGACAACATTAGTTAGAAACCATAAGGAATAGAGAACTTAAAGAAAATACATAGAAACCACTGTGGACGGAGGATAGAGAGATGATCAAAAATAATGCAGCACAGCTAGAGGAACAAACACAAAAGGAGCAGGAAACACCAGAAACGTGTGTAACAGCTCAATAATTGGACTGTAATTATTAAAGCGTTGAGAAGAAAATGATATGAAATAGCTATTTTTTTCTAAGCACCACTCATTTCTTCATGTCATATGTAAAATTCATTTTTCCAAAAGTAAATACAGATTTCCGTGATTATCAACAACTTCAAAGGAAGCAAATATTCTCTTCTGGGTCTCTTCTTTCAATTTAAAAATCCTCTGACATACCAAAAAATGGTCCAGGCATTGCAACATAAGGGATTCAAAACCAAAATACACTGTAGTGCAGATGATGTCATTCCGAGCACTTACCTGGGGTCGAATAACTTTTACAATATTTTTGAGGGCAGTGTCGGGGGACGGAGGTGAGCAGTCAGGTGTTGGGCCTGTTGAGCTGTTTCTATGGTTACTAGTTCCTGGAGCAGTAACTGCTACCTCAGAGGCATTGTCTGTGAATAAAAATAGAACTGCCATGAACCTAATCACTCAGTTTACCTTTCAAGACTTGGAATTGCTTTTCTGAACACAGATTGAGATTTCAACTTAAAACTGGTATCGATTACAAGATCATAATGAGGAATATGCTCAGTGGTATATTTCAAAGATAATGTTTATCAAATGTTTTGTTTCCTTTTACAATGGTAAATATCACCCCCTGGAGTATTTTTCTGAGATGAAAGAGCATTATTACTCAATTTATAATGATAGATTATACAGCATAGCTCCCATGACTGCCACTACTATATGAATGACTAACACCTCACCTTAACTAGGAGAATATGATTTTGTGATATGAATAGGCTAAAGCTTTCCCCATAATCTCTCAAATGAGTATTAATCCTTATTAAAGTAGGCGTCTCATATCTCCCTGATTCATAAAATCCAAATTCGAGCCTCCTCAAATCACTTTCCCCAGAAATCCCTCAACTATGAAAAAGCATCCCCGTGAATGAACCTTAATGAAAAACTGACATTTTCACAAAATGGTTTTACAATGTAGACAAGCACACAATTATCATTCCCAGATAAGCATATCATCCTCTATGGTCAAAACCAAATGAATGAAATTTTAAATTCTAAATTAATCGTCCCTTATGTTCAGTATTTGGGGAAGGGGAGAGGATAAAGAAGACTTGAAAATCAAAAACATATATAACATTTTGTTCTTAAAGTTATATTAAAACAAAAGAACATCAAAGATACAGTTTTAGAATTTTTAAAATACTTGGGAAAGGATGAAAAATGTTCTATAAATAACTTCTGCTAGCACATAGAAAAGTTATATTATTTTAACGACAATTTGGCAATCTTTTACAGCTTTTGATGAAAACAGTTGCAAGCTCAAATCTGCAAAAAATTTACTTCTCTGATATGTTTTAAATTAGTTCCCAATAATTTTCTGTCCTATTCAATTAGCTAAGTAGATGCAAAAGAGACTGACACTGTGAATTCTTTATAGACCAGCAAGTTTCTCTGATCCTGACCACTATCTACAATCCCCAGGGAAATATAATAATTTATCAAGGTATCTTTTGTTCATAAAATGAAAGAGGATGAATTACCTTAAAACTCTACCCATCATATAAAAATATACTTCAGTCTCACTGGGGAATCCAGACATAGGCTCGTGAAACAAAAAAATTCAAGTGTGACACATTGAATTAAAATGGATCATTCATAAAACAAGTCTTAAAAGTGTCCTGAGCATACTCTTAACTAAGGTTTAGTAGATACAATGGGATTTGAATTAGCATCTCAAAAGACGTGTGGTCAAAAGTATGGGTAAATATTGAAATGAACTAAACATCAGTCGGTAAGACAATGACAAGATGCTTTGATCTCTTCCATCTGTCCCTTTCTTCTTCATTCAGCCATATATCTAAAATAACATATTTTGGGAGGGGGCAACTATGTGTCAGGTATTATGTTATGTTCTAAAGATAAATGAAGAAGAATTTCCTGCCAGGGCCTGGGGGTAGGCAGGGATGAATAGGTGAAGCACAGAAGATTTTCAGGGCAATGAATCTATTCTGTAGGATACTATAATGGTGGCTATGTATCATTATAGATTTGCCCAAAGCATAGAATGTATATACAACACCAAGAGTGAACCCCAATATAAACTACAAATTTTGGGCAATACTGTGTCAATGTAGGTTCATCAGTTGTGACAAATATACCACTTTGGTGCGGGATATTGATAACTGGGTAGGGGGTATGAGGGTGGACTGGGGGTGGGGAGTATATGTGAACTCTGTAATTTCTGCTTAATTTTGCTGTGAGCATAAAACTGTTCTAAAAATAAAGTCTATGAAAAAATTGTTAAAAGAACCCCTCCGCTAAGTATACACTCAAGTGTGTCATCAGACAGGGGAACAAATCATAATGCAATATAACTTGAGAATTGACAGCAGATAGGTGAAGTTTGATGAAAAAGTCCAGGTGAGGAGCAACAATCACACTGACTTGGAGGGAAGATGGTTGTGAAAGGCTTCAGTTTTCAGTTAAGAATGCTAGGACAAAACAGCTTCAGTTAAGAATGCTAGGACAAAACAGAAGACATAAGGACATGAAGGTAAGAAGAGCACAGTTGAAGCTGTTATTATATGTTAGAAATTGGAGATGCATATGGGTGAGTAAAAGGAAGTTTAATGAGTATATAAGTTTGTACTTAATTCTGTAGCCAATGGTAAATATTGAAGACTGTCAGGGAGTGATATAGTAATAATGATAATCATAGCTAACATTTATTGAGCATTTATTATGTGTAAGCAGTATGATAAATTCTTTTACTTACGGAATCTCATTTAATCCTCAGATCATCCTATGAAATAGGTTCTACCCTCATCATCCCCATTCTACAGAGAATCTGATCCCAAAGTTATATTATCAGTAACTGGCAGAGAAGGATTCAAATTTTGGATTGATGCCATAGCACCATTCTACTGGTTGGCCTGTCATAAGAATGTGAAAGTGATTAGAGCATGTAGCAGAGGCTGAAGACTATGGCCATAGTGGGACTAGGAACATTTTCTACTTCTAAATGGAGTTGATTCCTATCCCCACTGTGGCAATAGGCTTCAGGCTCTGCTCTCATGCTCCAATAGAGTTGAAGTAGAATGAGGGTTACCAGAGATTGTGAAGGGTAGCAGGGAGTGGGGGATAAAGTGGGGATGGTTAATGAGTGCAAAAATATAGTTAGAGAGAATGAACAATATTTGACAGCACAAAAAAGTGACTATAATCAACAATAAGTTAGTAGAACTGGAATATTCCTAACACAAATAAATGATAAATGCCTGAGGTATTGGATACCCTAATTGCCCTGATTTGATTAATTCACATAGTATGCCTGTATCAAAACATCATACATACCCTATAAAGATATATAATTATTATGTACTCATATTAATTAAAAATAAAAATAAAATTTAAAATAAAATAAATAAATGTAGTTGAACAAATTCCACAGAAATTTACAGAGTAGAACATGGACATAATGAAAAAATAATAATAAAGAAAATGTCAACCATAAAAACATCTTTAAGATATTTTTGTGTTTACTATATGACATATATCTGAAAGCAGGAAGATCAGTTAAGACTAGCGATAGTTACAGACTGCAGTGTTAGCATTTGTATTGGTGATAAGTGATTGGGTTCTGGACATATGTTGATGGACCCTTAATAGCCAAAGCAATCTTAAGCAAAAGGAACAAAGCTGGAAGCATTACACTATTTGGTTTCAAAATATACTACAAAGCTATAGCAATCAAAACAGCATGGTGCAAGCATAAAAACAGACACATAGATCAATGGATCAGAACAGAAATACCTGAAATAAATCCACACATCTTTAGTTAATTGATTTGTGACAAAAGTACCAAGAACACACAATGGGGAAAGGACAGTCTCCTCCATAAATGGTGTTGGAACAACTGAACAATCCGAACGCAGAAAAATGAAACTAGACTATCATCTCATACTATCTAAAAATCAATTCAAAATGAGTTAAAGACTTACAGATAAAACCCGAAACAATAAAATTATTAGAAGAAAACATTGAGGAAAGACTCCATCACACTGGTCTGGGCAATAATTTTTGTCTTTTAGTGAATGTTAATTTAAAAAATCATTACAACTTATATGCTAATACCAAATGTGGAAGTCTGCAGAAAACTTGCCTGTGCAATTTATTTAATATTTCTGGATGTCAGTTTTCTTAACTATAAAAATTAGGATGATTAATAATCATCTATGGTTTATTTGTGCAGATAAAATAAGAAAGATTTACTTGTGAATTATCAGGTACATAGTAAGGGTTTAATAAATGTGAGTTTCCTTTTCCACTATCAAACCAAATGCCAACAGAATTAAAATAAAATATTGAAGATGAAAGAAATATCAGAGCTAAAGCAAGAAAACAAATAATAATGCTTTCTAGGTAATACATCTAGAGTAATGACTGTGAGTACTTGCGTGAAATTTGAGACCAGTATCTATTAGCTATTAACACAAATTGGTAGAGACAGAATTTAATTTCAGAAATAGAAGATGATTCCTTGAGGAATTACATTACTCAAAATTCTCCAGAGAAAGAGAACTATTAAGATCTCTCTATCTCTCTATCTGAAGAGATTTACTGTATGAATTTGGCTCACACAATTATAGAGGCTGAGAAGTCCCAAGATCTGCAGTTAGCAAGCTGGAGAACCAAAAGTGTCCATGTGTAGTTTCAGTCAAAATCCAAAGGCCTGAGAACCAGGAGAGCTGATGGTGAAAGCTCTAGTTCAAAGCCTGGCAGGCTCAAGACTCAAAAAGAGCCAACATTTCAGCCCAAGTCTAAAGGCCAGAAAAGACCAATATTCCGGCTCAAGCAGCCTTGCTTTGAAGGAGCTGATTACTTAATGGAAAATATAGAAGGGCAAATATAAATATAAAATTGTGTTATTTATGCTAGGTATCAAGCACTATGGGAGCACAGAAGAATGAGCCACTAACCGAATAAGGGGACCAGAGTAGGACGTTAAGTTATGGGCAGAAAGAAAAAGTAAATTAAAAAAATGTCATCATAGCCTTGAGAAATGAGTGCCTTCAAGAACTCAAGGAGGGAAAAACATTCCAAGAAAAGAAAACAGAACATTCATGCAGAAGCATAAAGGAGCATTATGCCTTTGGGGAACCATAGATAGCTCAGCCTAGCTGAAGCACAGGATATATGTGGAGAAGCGAACAGAAATGATGTTGGCAACGTAAAATATTAAGATGAAAGATGGAAAGGTGTATAAAAAGAAGAGAAAACAAAATTGGCTTTGTAAAGATTAAATTCTATTTAGAAAAAAAAAAAAGTCAGCCACATTGCATTTCTAAAATCACTTTCCCTGAGGCTATGATCAAATCCTACTCCCATCTATAAAAAGAAAGGATTTACAATATACTACAGTCACCTT